AAGTTAAATAGCCGTAGCATCTTTGTAGACAACCAAATTAATTTACTTTTGTGTTTTAACATCATTTTTTAACTTTGGGCTGTTTTGGTCAATTTGATCGTCCACACCGATGGACAGTATTCAGAAAGAGACAGAGAGAGAGAGAAGAGGGGAGGAGTTGATCTTGCGAGAACTTCCGGGCGGGTGAGAATAGCCACTTTCTTACTTTTACTCCAGCGCAAAGTGCCTTTTCAGAATCAGTGGAATAGAGTTTCGTCTTAAAAATAAGCGCGGCCGGAATTAAACGAGAGAAAATAAACAATTGTCCTAGAGTCTTGTCTGTGTCAATAGACATTGTTACTAGACTCTACCACACTAGACTCTAGCCCTAGATCTAGATCTAGATCTAGACCAGATTCATTCTATTCGTAAAAACTTTAAAAAAGAGAGGTTCTATGAGGAAATGGAGGTTTTATAAACTCCTACAAAGTACAGTCTTACCTCCCTTGACAACCACCTGTATAATAATTATATTAATTAGTTCACTTTCCATTTCCCCCCTTGCGTTTTTTCTTTTGCCGTAGCTATTCGGACTCAAGTCTGGATAACCTCCAGTGGCTATTCGGACTCAAACTCCACCAGGTGTACCGAATGTGAAGCGGACAGGAAATTCAACCTTGGCCTTCCTCGGTTGGATATTAGTGATGTCAAAAGTGAACAACAGTTGCAAAATCGGAAATGCTACAAGACAAAGGCAAATAGGGAAAGGGCAATATCTGAGCTCAAAGCAGTGAAAAAAAAAAGAAAATATCAATGTTTCAGAACAACAACGCAACGAAGTGGGTATTCGGGCTTGAGACTGAATAGCCTCCCGTGGCTATTCAAATTTTCGGACTCAAACTTCAATACTGTACATTATATATGTAGAAGTTGTTCCTTGTCTAACACTTTCGATGTTGTTTTGTCCTGATTTTATTTGAACATCATGTAAAGTATGTTGTTGGAAAAGCTCTTCCTTTAGACCACTGTTACTTTGAATGACAGGCTTTTGTTCCCTTTGGAAGGAGTTTGACTTCCAATTGATCAATGATTTTATCTTTCTCGTAAAATAAAGTGGGTTAGACTACCTATTGATAGTTATTTATAACCCTTTGTTATTCTGAAACTTTGATTTTCAATTTTTCGTCACTGCTTTGAGCTCAGATTGCCGTTTCCCTGTTTGCCGTTACTTTACATTATTTGTGTAGAAAATTTTGGCCAGGTCGTAGAAACCGAGGAAGGCGAAGGTTGAATTGCCTGTCCGCTTCAGTTCGGTGCACCCGTACCGGTGATTGCGCATGCGCATTGGAGGCTATTCAGACTCGAGTCCGAAAAGTGGCAGCCAACTATCAATAGGTAGTCTTTAGAAATCCGCTTTATTTGACGAGAAAGACAAAATCATTGATCAATTTGAAGTCCAGTTCAGTTAGAAATTAAGAAGTGAAAAATTAAAATTAAAATCCTTCCAAAGGGAACAAAAGTCAGTCGTTCAAAGTAACAGTGGTCTAAAGGGAAAGCTTTTCCAACGGCGTACTTTACATGGTGTTCAAATAAAATCAGAGTTTATTATATGGTCGCTTTTATGGACAAGCGGGCTAACTCAGATTTCAGGGGTTTCCAGAAATCTTGACCTACACCAAAAGTGGGCGTTGCCCTACCCATAGTAGAAGTTTGCTTTCATTGGTGTGTATTTGTTTGATAGAGAGAACTCTCCTTGTATTTTAAAGAAACTGAACAAGGGGCAAAAACTTTAACTTCAATTTTCTCAAAACAGCATTTTTCGGGATAGCCTGCTTGTTCTTAAAAGTGACCATATATATCCGCAGATACTATCTTTTCCGAGTATCTGCACCAATGTTATGTCTTTCATGTTCCAAAAGTTAAATAGTTTTTGTCATGTCTTTATTTTTAATACTGATTTTTTTCATTCACATTTGTCCAAAAAATTTTACAATATAGCATCACTGACTTCAGCGCATCTAACGAAATAACCAGACAAGTCTGTTCTTTTTTTAGTCTCAAGAGCAGAAATGCGTGCTTTTGGTACATTAAATGATAATTACCATAAAAATACAAGGGTATCCCTAAAACTGTACGTTGAAAAGTACCAAAAATTAAGTCGGCCCAGACAGAGTGGTGACAGAGAGCTGACCCCTGTGACCGTGACGTGATAAGGCGCCCCGCGGGGAACCCATCCCGGGGAACCCCCCGCGGTAACTAAAATTCCACTGCAGGTGCGCCGTGATATATATGTGAGGCAACGTTGTGAAATCAGGCGCTTGTCAAAATGACTAAATCTGAGAAAAAGGCATTTTTTCCGCCTGTTAGGACATTTTAATCGAATTTTATTTTTTGGCTCAACCACTTTTATTTCCATATAAAAACACATTTCCTTGGAAATTTTACTGAAAAATACTGATTATGGATACAAAATTATGTCACTTTTTAGTTTTGAAGGACTCTTTAGCTATTGAAATTACCAAAATTTTGGGCAGCCCATTTTTCGCTAATTTCGCCACTGAAACCAGACAACCTTACCTCCTTTAATTGCGAATATTTTGATTTTTATTCAAGATAAATGGATATATTTCAATAGAAGCAAGGGAAGTGAAACAGCTTTTAGATGAATCTCAATAACTCCACATGCTGAAAAATTGACGAGTGCCTGATTCCACCGTGTCATGACATGGTTAGACAAGCAACAATACTTCTACATTATTGGAGTTTGAGTCTGAATAGCCATCGGAGGCTATTCATACTCGAGTATGAATAGCCTATTCATTATCTTTAGGCCTAGATCTAGATCTATAATATCACTGTGTAAAAGGGGCACCCGCCAACTCTGCCCCTGCCACCATATATTTTAATAACGATCAGCCGAAATTATTATACCTATCTGAGACGGCCAGCCAAATCTTTGTCATATGAGGCGCATGCCAAAAGTTTTTTACTTGACCACGAAGGAATAAAAGTAGAAAGCTGAAATTTGGTACTAACCTTAATTTTTCTCTTTGTAGTCACCTCCCACAATTATACATTTTTGCCTTTTGATGTTATGACCTTAAAAAGACCTTGGGAATAGAAGACCCTCTCTTTGTCAGAAAACCAGCCTTCTACAACTTCTTTGAACTCGCCTCATCATCACTTTCAAAATGTTTTCCTTTTAAATGGTTTTTCCGTTTAGAGAATTTTTTTTAAAAGTCGGACAGGGCTAAATCTGAAGAATAGGGTAGGTTTGGCAAAATTTCATAGCCACTGTCTAGTGCAATTTCTGCAGCTTTTTTTAAAGTGTGTGCTGGCGCGTTGTCCTGAAGCAGGAAGATGCCTTTTCAGATCTTTCCTCTGCGTTTTTCTTTTACAGCCTCTCTTATTTTTTTTAAGCAGGCTTATAATGGTCTCTGGTGATCGTATGTCCATTTTTAAGATAGTCTCATAATCGCTCCTTCTTGGTCCCAAAAGCTGATAGCATCACTTTCCCACTTTATGGCTGCACCTTTGCCTTCTTTGGTTTTTTGAGACAAGGGCAATTTTTACTGCATTGATGCAGATTTTGACTCAGGATCGTAGTGGTGGACCCTTGTCTCATCCATGGTTACAAGTCGTTCAAAAAATTTAGTGTTATCCTTTTCATACAGACCAAGCAGTTCTTGACAACAATCCATACATTGCACAGGAGTCAAGAAACGTGGGACCCATCTCGCAGAAACTTTGGTCATATATTCAAATGTTCATTTAAAATTTGTTCAACTGATCCAATGCTAAGCCTAGTTTCTTTGGTCAAACGTTCGACTGTCACCCACCTATCAGACAACACAAGTTTCTTGATTTTCAACAAATTCTCCTCTGTTGTTGCTATCATTGGGTGACCATAACGGTGGTCATCTTCAATGTCCATGAATCCACATTTAAATTTTTTACACCAAAATTTTTTCGCAGCATAGGATGTGCAATCAGTTCCATATTCAGCATGCATTTCTGTAAAAGTATCCTGTTGTTGCTTGCCTTGCAAAAACAAACACTTCATTACTGTCCTGTGCTCAATTTTCTCTAATTTCAATTTGAAACTGGAGAACAACATACCCCCATTCACTTACACCAAAGATTGTGCATAATAAGATAGTTCACTCGGCCAAAAAAGTGTCCGTGGAAGTCCTCACATTGGTTCAGATGTCGCTGTAGTCTTTGTTTTGAAGCTCTCTTTCGTTTCTCAAAAAAAAAAAAAATAGGAATAGCACCCCCTTGTGCATCAGCTGTTCCGGTTCACTCAGTGTGGAGTTTTGGGTTTATTTTATTTTAATGACCTCTCGCCTCTCGTTCTAAAGCAATATTAAACGAAGAAAACAGTCTCCCCTTCCACCTGAAGAGGATTTTTGTCAGCGTAACCTTTTAAAAAAGCATTATTCCGAAATTGTAATTACACTTTATATGAAAACTTGTTAGTTTCACTTTGATTTTTTTCCACACAAGTAAGATAACTCTGTTCACAAAGTGGGTGCTTTTTCGAAGAGGGAGCCACAGGATTTTGAGGACACTTTTTTAATTGGTTCAAAGAGTGGAGTGAACCATTTTGTTATACAGAATCTTTGCTTACACTTACAGTGCACTGGTGTTGAAACATGTGATTGGAAATTCCCCAAAATCCGCATGCTTTTTATGAAGATGATTGTTGGCTTTCACCCCAAGTTTCAGCTTTTTACCTTTATTCCTTCATTGTCAGGTAAAAAACTTCTCTTCTTGTTGAAATTCTTTCATGCAAGTTTAGATTACTATTCATATCTGCATATGTGTTTTTACCATTCCTGGCTGAATACAAAAGCGGATAAGATTTGACAGTTTTAAACTGCAGTCAAGCTTACCAAGGCTCAAGCACATAGTCAATTCATGGTATTAAATTAACCTTGAATTATACACGATTTTGTACTGGCGTCTTTTTTTTTATTGCGCATTACGGTTAGAATCTAGTGATATTTAGGTGACTTTCTGCATTTTCATTAACTCACAGTGGTCTGCTGGTTTTTTAACTTACTTGCATGATTATGGAGTGATACAGAGCCACTGAGTCGCTGTTTACATCTGACAGAAAATTTATAGTGCAGTCTTCTACTTCTTTTTCATCAGTATCTCCAGATGAAGGTACAATGTCGTGGTTGTGGCAGCTGCTGGTTATTGTTTTGCTGTGTGCCTTCACATATTCTGATGACAGAAGTAAGTAGTAACGTTTAAAGAGTTTCTTCTTTTTCGACCTTTCTTTTTCTTATATGTATATGCAGACACAAGCACTCACTCTTTCTACATACACATGAAATGCACATGTGTAGTGTAAGCAAGCAAACATATCGCTACCTCAGAATTACAAAATTTTATCTGACATTTTTCACCATTTTGAGTTACTAAGACCATGAGGTCAGAAACCAAATGCTCTATCTGCACTATCAAAGTCGTAAGATTATTCTTGGTCATTATCAAGATATTCAAAGAACTGCTCGTATTATGAAACTCAAATTTTTTCATGTAAAATCTCTCAAAAGTAGGTATTGAGCAGATGGAACTTTGTAATTCTGGGGTAGAGAATTATGCTGACACATTTACGCCTACATGAACCGGGATCCTGCTCGCCAAATCTGAGAGTGGCGATTCGCGATTCAGTCGGCTTCAAAGAATTGCGAGTTTGCGGGCGCTCGTGGAACACTAAGCCTCGGGCTCGTTGTATTCGTGAAACGGAACAGTGTCATATCAGACATATCAACACCACTTGGCAAGTCCCACTTTTGTTGTCCCACTGTCCTCTCTGCCCACCCCACCCTTCGTTGCGCAGCTGTACTGACCTCAGTTAGCGACCCCATAATTCACCCCCCCCCCCTCCCAATGATTGGCTAAAACAATGCCTCCATAAAATTTGTTCTGTCTATTGGTTATTGGTTGGAACCCGTTCATTTTGTTTTAGTAGGGGGGTTGGACTATACCATCTTTTGTAAAATAGGGAAGTGAATTGCGAATCACTTTCCGCTGGGAAGTGTTGCGATTCAGTTCCGTTCTCGCGCTCGCGACCCAGCTCTAACAATAATAATAATAATAATAGATAGCATTTGTATAGCGCATATCCCCGCTCAACAGCAGGCTCTATGCGCTTTACCTATATTATTACCCCAGCAGACCATAGAACACTCCGAAAAATTCTCAGCTTCCCGGGAAGCATACAGTGCAAGCAGCCGATTAAGCGCTCAAACACAAACAAACTGACAAGATCCTTCGCTGTCCATAGCCGGGTACCCATTCCCACCTGGGTGAAGGGAGGAAAATTCGTGTAAAGTGCCTTTCCCAATGCCACTGCAGGTGGGGGGGCCTCATAGTTTTACTATGGGGGAGTAAAGAATACATCTGCCTTGATACTGCGTGTCGTAAGAGGCGACTAAAGGTGCATAGGTCTGGCCACCTGAAAAGTGACAGTTTGCGGAGGGCCAACTACCCGACCCAGTAAAAAAGGAAAGTTATAGAAACACGAACAAACATGCCTTATAATTTTTTCATCTTGGGAGACGGAGGAGCTTCTGCATCAACAGGAACAATGAAGGACAGCGGACAAAGCCGAAAGGACTTTTCTGACCCGAAACCTTCTCTGTCAAACAAGTCTCTCCGGATTGCGTAGTGGAATGTTCGCACCTTGTATGAAGCAGGAAAAAGTTCTCAAGTGACTCAAGAAATGAAATGATACAGGCTGCACATACTAAGAGTCAGCGAAACCCACTGGATACAGTCTGGACAGAAGCAGCTCAGCTCGGGGGAACAAATATTCTGGGAGGGAAGACAAGCACCATGCGGAGGGAGTTGGAATTATTTTGAGCAAGTATGCGCAGAAGTCACTTAGAGGATGGGAACCACACGGGGAGAGGATCATCATGGCTTCTTTCACTACCAGAAGTAAGAGCATCAACATGATCATAGTACAGATCTACGCCCCAACAAACGATGCTTCGGACGATGACAAGGATGCTTTTTACAGCCGGCTCCAGCGGGTCATCGACAAACTACCAAGGAAAGATGTCAACATCATAATGGGAGATGCTAATGCCAAGATTGGTCAGGACAACGTAGGTTACGAGGGAATCATGGGACAACATGGCCTGGGACAAATGAATAACGGTGAGCGATTTGCAGATCTTTGTGCTTTCAACAGTCTTGTCATCAGAGGCTCTGTTTTTCCCCATAAGAAGACCCACAAGGCTACTTGGGTATCACCGGATGGAGTGACGGAGAACCAGATTGATCATTTTTGTATCGCTCGTAGGTTCAGGCGTTCACTGGAAGATGTCAAAGTACAGAGAGGGGCAAACGCTGGATCGGATCATCATGTGCTGTTAGCAAAACTCAAGCTTCATCTCAAAAAGCATGGAACCGGAACAGAAATCAAAAGAATGAAGTTCCAAGTAAGTCTTTTAGATGGACACAAGAAACAGGAGTTTCAACTGCAGTTGAAGAACAGATTTCAAACTTTGGCGGATGTTGGTGAGGAAGACATGGGGGTGGATACACCCTGGACCAAGGTTAAAGAAGTCTTTACATCAACATGTCAAGAAGTACTCGGTGTGAAGAAATGGGAGCACAAGGAATGGATTAGCCAACACTCATTGGATTTAATTAGGATTAGAAGACAGCTGAAGGCAGAAGCGAATGCAAGTAGAACAAGAGGATCAAGAGCGGATGCATTGGAGAAGTACAGGACAACAGCTAAAGATGTCAAGAAATCACTAAGAAAAGACAAGGAGGAATTCATGAACAGGCTAGCAGAGAAGGCAGAGGAAGCAGCGATAGGAGGGCACATGCGAATCCTTTACCAGACCACAAGGACACTTTCTGGAAAATACGGGTAACCTGAAGTACCAGTAAAGGACCAAGAGGGGAAAACCATATTTTGGAAAGGAAGCTCAGTCCAAACGATGGGTAGAGCATTTCAACAATCTCCTGAACAGACCACCACCGAGTAACCCACCAAACATCCTGCCAGCAAGAAATGAGTTACCAATCTGCTGTGATGCTTCTTCAAAACAAGAGATTCTGGATGCCATTGTGACAGCCGACATCCTCCTCCCACTGTTTACCAGGATCTGGAATGAGAGCAAGTTCCCAAAGGATTGGAAAGAAGGACACCACGTGAAGCTTCCAAAAAAGGGGATCTCAGCAACTACAGAGGGATCACACTTCTCTCAATACCAGGTAAGGTCTTCAACAGAATCATTCTGGAGAGAATCAAGACAGCAACGGATCCAAGACTACGGGATGAACAGGCTGGTTTCCGGAAAAATCGCTCAACCACCAACCAGATTGCCACGCTGAGAATTATTGTGGAACAGGCCCTGGAGTGGAACTCCCAGCTGATAGTCAACTTCCTTGACTATGAGAAGGCTTTTGACAGTGTAGACCGAGCAACACTATGGAAGGTACTGAGACACCACGGAATCCCACAGAAGTTGGTGAACCTCATTAAGAGCATGTACGAAGAGACAAGTTGCAGGGTTGTACATGATGGCCAGCTCACTGACACCTTTGACATCAAGACTGGTGTGAGACAGGGATGTTTATTATCACCGTTCCTCTTCATATTGGCAGTTGACTGGCTGATGAAGGAAACCACTAGAGGACACAAAACGGTATACAGTGGACACCATGGACACAGTTGGACGATCTGGACTTTGCAGATGACTTGGCGCTTCTGTCACACTCTTAGGAGCAGATGCAAGCAAAGACGACAATTTTAAACAGCCTATCCGAGTCTGTTGGATTTAGGATCCACCCAGGAAAGTCGAAAGTCCTAAGGATAAATGCACGGCGAAAGGAGCAGGTCACAGTACAAGGAAATGCACTAGAAGACGTCGAATCGTTCTGCTATCTTGGGAGTATAATTGACAGAGAGGGAGGAACAGGCGCTGAAATAAAGTCCCGCATTGGAAAGGCACAGGCTGCATTTATTTCTTTGAGCAGGATTTGGAGGACCAGGGATATCTCATTACGAACAAAGCTTAGAATTTTCAACTCAAATGTGAAGTCAGTCTTGTTGTATGGATGTGAGACGTGGAACGCATCCCATATGTGCATGAAGAGGATCCAGGTTTTCTTGAACAAGTGTCTGAGGAGGCTGCTGAGGATCAAATGGACAGACAGGATCACCAACGAGGAAGTGTTAAGAAGAACCAGACAGAGCCCGGTCAGAGATGAGGTGGGAAGAAGACGTTGGCGATGGATTGGACACACTCTCAGGAAGTCAAGCAGCTGCGTATCAAGAAAAGTGTTAGATTGGAACCCACAGGGTAAAAGATCAAGGGGAAGACCTCGTGGAACCTGGAGAAGAGTCACGGAAATGGATGTACAGAAAAGTGGGAAGACGTGGAGTGAAATCAAGCGACTAGCCCAGGATAGGGAAAGGTGGAGCGTGTTTGTTCGTGGCCTATATCCTGACCCAGGGTGAGAAAGGCAATGATGATGATGCCTTTCCCAAGGACACAACGTCAGGCCCTTGACGGGCTTCAAACCCACGCCCTTACGGTTGCGAGTCCAAGAGCCTAACCACTAAGCCACCGACGCCACATAAACACACATAACACACACACACACACACACACACACACACACACACACACACACACACACACACACACACACACACTCTCACACACACACACACACGCATACACAATCACCACACACGCGTGCTTACATACACATGCACACACACACGTGTGCTTACATACACATGCACACACACACACACATGCACATACACACACACACACGCATGCGCGTGAGTGCGCAGGCTCACACATGTATGCACACGCACGCACACACACTCACACACACACATACACAATCACCACACACTCGTGCTTACATACACATGCACACACAAACACACACACACACACACATGCACATACACACACACACAGGCACGCGCGTGAGTGCGCAGGCACACACATGTATGCACACACACACACACACACACACTCACACACACACACACACACACACACACACACACACTTACACTCTCACAAACACTCAAATGCGCAATATTTTCTGATCTAAGGAGTTGTTTTTTTCTTGTTTTCATCATATTCACCTGCTTTTCTTGCATCAACTAACCATATTGAAAAGAAAATTGGAAACAGAAAACAAGATTTCACAGGTAAATTGATTTGTTTTCTTTTTCTGCTTCATATATACATACATGTATAATATATTTCCATTGCCTTTTTTCCACAGTATTAAAGCCCCCTCGCCTTGAAAAGCCGACTCAGCCAAGCATGAAATATTTCTTAGACAATGACAAAATAACACTGGAATGTGAAGCAGACGGGATACCTGAAGCAAGGTGAAAAACTTGATTGTCTTGTCTCTTTTTAACGAATGTGTTTAAGAGGACTGTCTAAAATGTCTATTAGTGGGTGGTTAGCGGGTGCTCTGGTGTGGTTTGCCCCTTCTTTCCTATCAAACATCTATCGCCTTTATCCCCCCTCCTTCTTTTTTTGTGTTTGTTACTACTCTCTTGTAACACCTCTAATCTTCAGCACGTAATATTTATGACCTTATTGTGTTGCAGGTGCTGTAAAACACTTACTAGACTAAACTGAAAAGCCTATGCTGTAGATCAGGGGTCTCTCAAACTTAAATAGCCTCGTGGGGGAGTTGTTCAAAATTTTGGGGCTGCGGGGAGTACATTATTTGAGGTTTTACAGTATATTGTTCAGTAAGTTGCTCTTTATCCCTTCATTAGGTCTTTTTAAAAGTGCATTGCTTTTAGATCTAGGATCAGAAATATCTCGGAGGAGTCTCTTGATGTTTCACGTTTTTATATTTTTGATACTTTTACTCTTCGGGTATTTTTGAAAGTGCAGTATTGCATGTTTTTAATACTTTTTCTCTTCCAATATCTATGGAAGCTCAATATTACATGTTTTTTATACTTTTTCTTTTCAGGTATTTGGAAGCACCACGTTACGTGTTTTAAACAAGTTTTTCTCTTTAGATATCTATGGAAGCCCTGTAGTGCATGATTTTGGTAGTTTTTCACATCAGCTGTCTATGGAAACACAATGGTACATGAATTGACAATTTTTTCTCTTCAGCTACCTATGGAAGCACAACGGTGTGCCTGTAGAGGAAAGCAGTGCTGTAAAATTATCACAAGGCACACTGACGATTGAGCCAGCCATGAAAAGCCATGAAGGAGAGTACAGGTGCTATGCCTCAAGCGTGATTGAAAGAGAGAATTTCATGCCCACCAGCGTGTCCCCGCCCATTTCGCTTGTTTTTTCCTGTACGTGAGTGCATATATGGGGAACTTATATTCCTTTAGTATTGTCTAACAGTTTTCTAATTTGTGTTTTAGTACAGTGGAAATAATACAAGACAGGTACCCATTGGCGAGAAGAAAGAAGACTGTCTTAGACAGGTGGACATCTTGGAGAGTGTTAATACAATTGGAAAAAAAAAACTCTGAGGGGGTGGGGGACTAGTGGTTAGGGGTTATTTGTACAGGTGATTGTCTTGGACAGGTGGCAGTTAGAACAGGTTCAACTGTAATGTATGTGATTGTCGGTGTATGTTTGTTTTTATGTCTGCATAATATGTGTGTGTATGTGTAAATGTTTTGGTGTTTTCACATCTGTCTATGTGTCTGTGAGTGTAAAAGTGTTTTGTATTCATTTATATATATCAGTGCTTCCACTCTTCCGTATTTTTACGGAAATCCGTACTTTCTGCTAGTTTTGTACTTGTTCCTGTATCATTATCAACTCCCTCTATAAAAAAACTGCGACAGCGTAGGACTACCGAAATTCCGTAAAAAGTTCTGTACTCGCCTTGGTATTTTCTTGTATAAGTTATGGATATTTACGGTAATTCTCTCGACAATAACTTAATGTTATAGAAACCTGCCAGATTGTGCATTTCGTGTAATCGGCCATTATTCTGCTATGCCCCGTGCATTCATTGCGGGTTGTTCAGCAGTACATTTTTACCTGCAGATTGATCAAAATCTGGCAAACTTTTTGTGCCAATTTCCTCCTTTCTAATTCCTTCTGTCTATCTTTGGATTGTTGCAGCAGCTGGAAAATCTGAGCATTGATCAAGTAAATAAACTTGTGACATGAGCCTAGACAAAAAATTACTGTCAGAAAAAGAATAATTTTTTTTTGCAAATTTGTCTAGATCTAGAGAAATTATCAATGCAAAGATTCTACAGTATGTGAATGCGACAAGGGCCATGATGAAAGAATCAGTGTCTGTGGTATATCAATTCAGTTCTTCGCCATCACATGCAAAAGACATGTGTTTGACCCCCATAAGTTTTGAGGGGGGGTTATACCCGGTGCCCATCGGAGGATCAGTTCGTCTTGGTTTGGCTTCAGTGCACACAATAAATAGACCAATTGCTCAAATCGAACACCTGAGACTGAAGTGTCTTTAGGCCATTCCCAAAGGGGAGATATTAACATGTTCTTATGCACAGTAGAATTGTAAATTGGCTGATTCATCAATGTCATTCTCATAACTGTGCCTGAACTGCAACGGGGAACTGCTGCTTTTTCTTTCCTAATCCTTAACATTGTCATTTTTTCTCCACTTCTGTTGTATGTTTGTCACTCTTGTGACCCGCTATTTCCGGGGTGCCTTGATAGTCTAAGCAGACTTTGTGCTGTTGAAGCAAGAGGGGTGAGCAGAGTAAGCTTGATTTCCTACATGGACTTCTCTGTTGACATCCATATGACCTTATGCAGTTGTGAACACCATAACTAAAACAAAACAAATCAAACTCCTGACACGGGGCCTTGAAAACAAAAGCGTTTGTTTTTGCAGGTCACCATCAGTTTCGTTGGTTTTCCCCTCCCGTGGAGGACAGTCCAGCGAGCCCAAAACTGACAAAACCGAACCATACGAAACCAATGATGCCAATTGGCACTGAGTATTAGTCAAGTGTATCCATCTGTCTGCTAGGACATTGTATCCCTCTCAGCCCGGATTGGTCCTGGTAGGCAAACCGAAGCATCGGATGATCTACCTTAATTGTGTCGATAGGAGTGTAAAAAAACATTTGCTGTCAGATTCAATTATTTCTCAGGTCTGGTCTTGTCTTGTCTGCCCTCAGATGTGAATGCTGGCAATATGACTTCAGAGAACGTGACTGGTGAAGTGAATAGTTATCTAGTGCTTAGGTGTGGGCTCACAGATCACTCGGGACCAGTCAGGTTTAACTGGTATGACACGTCACGGTTCCAGGAAATCTCTTTGGACTCGGGGCGTCTGTACATTGACTTGAATGGTGAGCAACGTCCAGTACAAGACAAACTGGGTTTATAATTTGACGGGTGTTTGGTGTCGGCATTGCGCTACCTTAGAATTACAACATTATATCTGACATTATTGGCGGTTTTGAGTTACTAAGACTATAAGGTCTGAAACTAAATGTTCTATCTGCTGTATCAAAATTGCACAATTATTTAGGGTCGATATCAAGATATTCGAAGAATTGCATTAAAAAAAGCTTGTCATCTTGTGAAACTCACAATTCTTTAAACATCAAATTTCTCTAAACTTATAAACTAGGTACTGAGCAGATAAAACTTTGTATTTCTGGGGTAGCTATGATCTCCTTTATTATTTTTCAAATATTGGTGTTGTAAAGCTCAGTGAAAGAGAGCAGTAAACTAGTAATGCTATTTACTGCTTTCTATATTTACTCTGTTCAAACGTAATTGCTGTTGTTTAGAGATGTTACCGCCATAATATGTACTTGTGGTTAGCTGTGTGATTCTCGGGAAAGTAGTCGAGTACGGTTGACATTGAAGAAACCAAGGACAGGCCGAGGCGTGAGCCACGGACTTTTGAAGACTGCGTGAGTAGCGGTCGAGGCGCAGCGCAGAGAGTTGCGACGAGTTAGTGCAAGTTGGATCGCTACATGAGGTGGGTGTGTGTAGTAAAACCGTATGCATGTATAGTTAAACTACAAGCTATTTCGGCGAGGTGCTCATTCTAGAGCCAGATATTAAGTGCTAGTGATGGCATCGAAAATAACGACGGACATGATCAAGCCTTTCAGTGGCAATAGCGATGTTGTGGCATGGTTGGCTAAGGTTAAACTCGTCGCTGGTTTGAAGAACATTCAGGATCTTGCGAAATTTGTACCGTTGTTCCTGGAGGGTGATGCATTGGCGTTGTACTTACAGCTTAGTGAGCTGGAAAGATCACAATATGAGACAATTGAGAAGCGTCTTCTAGAGGCATTCACAGACAGCTCATTTGTTGCGTTCAGTAAGTTGACACAGAGGAGGTGGGACGGTGAGCATGTTGATGTATTCGCGAACGAACTAAGGAGATTGGGAGGATTGGCTGGATTTTCAGGCAGCGAACTGGATAGGCTGGTTAGATTGTCCTTTGTAAATGGATTCCCTGACCCGATATCGTGTGAGCTCCAACAGATGAGCCGGGTCTTCGAAGTTGAACTGTCAGAGGTCATAGCAAGAGCTAGAATCCTTACAGCAAGTAAGACTGGAATGGTCAGCGTTGCGGCGGCAGGCGGAGCCATGGCAAACGAAATGGGAAGCCACAGTCAACGTGTGAGGGCATTTAAAGGTTCTTGTTATCGATGTGGTGGACCACATATGGCTAAGTTTTGTAGTCATCGTGCTGACATTGTTTGCTACCACTGCAATGAAGTTGGGCACATAGCCAGTCGATGCAGTCAGAGGGGAAACGGTGCCTATCAGAAGAAACAGGAAAACTAGCTTCGGGTGGCTGCTGCGCCGGCAGCTACCCGTTTGAAATGAGGGCGCAGTCTTTACCGATAATTCAAGTTGGCGTGAAGGGAGCTAAGGTCAAAGCATTGGTAGATACAGGTTGTATGGTCACAGTGGTCAGTTCACAGATAGTTGGAAATTGCGTGGGCGAGAACTATATGGTAGCTTTTGATGGTTCACGAGTGCAGTGTCAGGGGAAGAAAGAGCTAATCATTGACGTGCGAGGTGTCTCGGTCTCCGTAAATGCAATTGTCTCAGATTCTATTCTGTCTGATATTGATGTGGTACTGGGAATGGATGCTATAAACAACTTGGGAGGAGTTTCAGTCAACCATGGTACAGTTGAGTTTGGTGTCAAATGGTGTGGGGCAGCGGAAATGGAAACTGAATCTGATCCCCCAGACAAGGCAAAGGGGAACGTGAAGTGAGCAGAGAGCGCTGTTTACGAACACAGGGAGGTTGAGGTTATTGACGACAGTGATTTTAAGGCAGTTTTTGATGGCAATACATGGACAGTAGAGTGGAAATGGAAAAGGGATCCTCCCCACCTGAAGAATAAGATTGGATGTTATGGTAAACAGATGGATATGAAGACTACAGAAGGGTTTGAGAAAGAGATACAAAGTTGGATAGAGGAAGGAATACTTTTACCATGGAATGAGAAAGTAGAAATAGGCATAATTCCGCTGATGGCTGTTGTTCAACCTACCAAGAACAAGGTAAGACCTGTCCTTGACTACAGAGAGCTCAATAAATATATAAGTAGTCACACGGGGGGTGACTTCACGGATGTATGCGGCGAGACATTGCGAGAGTGGAGACAGACGACAGATGCAGCAACGATTGTCGACCTGAAAGGTGCTTACCTTCAAATTCGGGTGTCACAAGATCTATGGAAATATCAACTAGTGAATTTCAAAGGTAAAACATATTGCCTGACAAGACTTGGATTTGGTCTTACATCGGCACCCCGCATCATGACGAAGATCTTGAAAACGGTATTGAATAAGGATGAGAAGATAGACTCTGCCACGCAGTCCTACATTGATGACATTCTACTGGATGAGAGCAAGGTAACATCTGCTGCACTGGTGAAGCACCTGGCCAACTATGGGTTGACAACGAAAGAACCAGAGCCATTGGATGGTGGCGCCGCATTAGGTTTGAAGTTGAAATCTGATTCCACAGGAGATCTCATATTTTCCAGAGCCAACAGGATTCCCCATGCAGTGTCTAAAGTCACCAAACGGGAGTTGTTCTCGATCTGCGGAAAACTTACAGGTCATTATCCGGTTGCTGGATGGTTAAGGATAGCATGCAGCTACATAAAGAGAAGGGCAAATGGTACCAATTGGGAGGAGATTGTAAACGATGAAGTGGAGAAAATGTTGAAGGAAATGTTGAGCCGTTTGACTAATGAGGATCCCGTCAAAGGCAAATGGTACGTGCCTAAAGCAACCAAAGGAACCGTATGGTGTGATGCTAGCAGTATCGGATATGGTGTGTTACTTGAGGTCAATGGCAACGCGGTAGAGGATGCTGCATGGCTTCGGAAACCTTCAGATTTTGATCATATCAACGTAGCAGAGCTGGAGGCTGTGATGAAAGGTGTAAACATGGCCATCAAGTGGAACATCTCTGAAATCGAAGTTATCACTGACTCAGCAACGGTGGCTGGTTGGATCAAAACTGTTCTATCGGAAGAGAGGAGAGTGCACACCAAAGGGGCAGCGGAGTTGATTGTGAAGAGACGATTAGGGATATTGAAAAGCCTTATTAATGAGTTTGGTCTGGTTTTGTCGGTCACCTTGGTTCCGACCAGAAAGAACAAAGCAGACATTCTGACAAGAGTGAAAAAGGAGTGGTTAAGCACTGGCGGGTATGGAATGGAGGAAGGAGAACCAGAACCATGCGTTTGTGCTACTGGCCATCTTGACTTGAAAGACTTGCACGATATGCACCATATGGGGGTAGACCGTACTTTGTATTTGGCTCGGAAGGTGCTACCAGAAACGAGCCGTGCTGATGTTAAAAAAGTCGTACAAGCTTGTGAGCAATGTCAGTCTATCGATCCTGCACCAGTTGTCCATGAGGCGGGCAACCTAGATGTCGCTACAGACTGGACAAGATTGGCAATAGACATAACTCACCATCATCAAGTGCCATACCTGTCAATTGTTGATTGTGGCCCAGGGCGATTCGCAATTTGGAAGAAACTGAGGAGAGAGACAGCAGGGTTTGTGACAGAAGTAGTTGAAGAACTCATGTTAGAGAGAGGACCAGTGCGCGAGATCTTAATGGATAATGGCACAGTGTTTCGTTCAGATTGTTTTTGGCAGATGCTTCAGAAATGGAATATCAAACCATTGTTCAGAGCTGCATATAGGCCTACGGGGAACGGGATTGTTGAGAGACACCATCGTACAGTGAAGTCCATTGCAGAAAGAGGAAACATTCCCCCCCAAGAAGCTGTGTTTTGGTACAACTCAACACCAAGGGCAGGTTTGGACCCAGCATCAGTGCCACAGAGAGCTGTCTACCGTTATGATTGGAGAAACCATATCGTTGTTAATGAAGAAGAAGACGGGCCTGGAAGATTTGAAGTTGGAGATCACAATATGAGACAATTGAGAAGCGTCTTCTAGAGGCATTCACAGACAGCTCATTTGTTGCGTTCAGTAAGTTGACACAGAGGAGGTGGGACGGTGAGCATGTTGATGTATTCGCGAACGAACTAAGGAGATTGGGAGGATTGGCTGGATTTTCAGGCAGCGAACTGGATAGGCTGGTTAGATTGTCCTTTGTAAATGGATTCCCTGACCCGATATCGTGTGAGCTCCAACAGATGAGCCGGGTCTTCGAAGTTGAACTGTCAGAGGTCATAGCAAGAGCTAGAATCCTTACAGCAAGTAAGACTGGAATGGTCAGCGTTGCGGCGGCAGGCGGAGCCATGGCAAACGAAATGGGAAGCCACAGTCAACGTGTGAGGGCATTTAAAGGTTCTTGTTATCGATGTGGTGGACCACATATGGCTAAGTTTTGTAGTCATCGTGCTGACATTGTTTGCTACCACTGCAATGAAGTTGGGCACATAGCCAGTCGATGCAGTCAGAGGGGAAACGGTGCCTATCAGAAGAAACAGGAAAACTAGCTTCGGGTGGCTGCTGCGCCGGCAGCTACCCGTTTGAAATGAGGGCGCAGTCTTTACCGATAATTCAAGTTGGCGTGAAGGGAGCTAAGGTCAAAGCATTGGTAGATACAGGTTGTATGGTCACAGTGGTCAGTTCACAGATAGTTGGAAATTGCGTGGGCGAGAACTATATGGTAGCTTTTGATGGTTCACGAGTGCAGTGTCAGGGGAAGAAAGAGCTAATCATTGACGTGCGAGGTGTCTCGGTCTCCGTAAATGCAATTGTCTCAGATTCTATTCTGTCTGATATTGATGTGGTACTGGGAATGGATGCTATAAACAACTTGGGAGGAGTTTCAGTCAACCATGGTACAGTTGAGTTTGGTGTCAAATGGT